CTTTTCAAAATAAAAAATACGAAGAAGTTAGAACGGCCTTCATTAGTACTCTATTATAAAAAAAATATTTTTTATCATAGACTGAATGAAATTACTTTGCTGGAACTAGATAAATAGTTGAGGTAGGTTTACTCCAAAGTACTAATTCCTGAATTCAACATAAAAATTAATCTGAACCCTTAACCCATTGCTCTATTCACTTCGCTTTCAATTTTGAAAGAACACATGCACAGGTACCACACAGTCAAAAAAGAAGTCAAACATGTGTCAAGCTCACGAATGCATGTAAAGCTATTTTGTTTGATGATATACAGTCTCTTTACTAAGTTTGGTGTGTGTCTCTTGCGCCTGATTATGGTGTACATTATGTGTCACGACGCGGTGGAATCAGGCGTTCGTCAGGCTGTTGGGCACATGGAGTTATTAGAATTGTCTTAAAGCTTGTTAATCTGTCTTGCATTTGGTGGAAGAAAATTACCCATCTATCTTGAATGGAAGTCAAGATATTTGCGATTGAAGGAGGTAGATGTCGTCTGACGTCAGAGGTAAAATTGGTGAGACAATGGCCGCCGAAGTTCGGTGAGTACCAGAGCTTGAGTGTCCTTGGAAACTGCAAATTCACATTTTCTGTGCCTTTGATCAACGTTTTTTTGGTAAAATCATACAGAAATGTGTTCTTAAATGTACATAGAAGGTACCAAGCCCCACCCCCCCCAAAAAAAAATAAAAAAAATTGCCCAAAGGCCCCCAAAATGCCGATTTCCTTCATTATATTATTTTGACGAGCGCCTGATTTCACCACGTTGCCTTACATATACAGCCGAACCTGCTCTGACGGTCACCTGTATAAGATAACGGCATGTACAAAAGGCTACTTCCCATTCCCCCTTGCGTTTTTTAAAACATTACAATGAAAGTGTGTAAGACGGTTACAAGTCTCCCCGACAATGGGTGATCGTCTTAAGTCCTCTACACCTGCAGCATCTTTGCCTGCAGTTAGATTTGTTCGAGTTGAACTCTCGAGTAAACCCGTAGGTTAAACCGGAACTCAGTGTGTATCCACACAGCACAAGTAGACAGCCAATCATTCCCTTGAACTTGTCAATTAGTACAATGAATAAGGAAACAAATAATTTTGTTAATATGCAATAAATCGAGCAGTGTAGCGCAGACTTTGTTCTTTTTGACACGCTGAGCTAAAAAATATAACTATAGTTTTTAAAATCTGAGTGATATTTGTTTTTTAACATGTTAAAATGTTCTTCCCGGCTGAAAAAAATCAAAGGGACGCTGTCTTCCTGTTGCAAGCCTTCCAAATATTTAACATGTCTTATGTCGAACTGAAGCCAGCCAAACTGACATTGTCACCAGCTGTCCGAGCCACCATTAATAAACACCTTCCATTCTACAAGCAGGTCGGCCTGTTGGAGCCAATCCGGCGAGTCTACTGCAGGTGTGGAGCGGGCTTTAGACAAATTTGACAATAATTTGACTGTGTATATTATGTGCGAGCAATCGTGTTTGTGCTTGCGTATCCACGCTCTCTTGCTCGTGTTTATTTATCTACATATGTGTGAATTTTTGTTTGGTCTTCCTTGCGTGTGTGTGTGTGTGTGTGTGTGTGTGTGTGTGTGTGTGTGTGTGTGTGTGTGTATGTATGTGTGTGTGTGTGTGTGTGTGTGTGTTTGTATATATTGTGTATGTACACGCATGTATGTGTGTGTGTGTGTGTGTGTGTGTGTGTGTGTGTGTGTGTACATGCGCGTGTATGTGTGTGTTTGTGTGTCTGCGTGCGCATGTATGTTTGTGTATGTAGGTGTCTTTGCCTTTAAATGGCTGCAATAGCATAATATTGTATACTATACTGTATATCCCTAATTATTTCTGGTTTTTTTTATGCTCATCTATTTAGGGACCTCACTTTGAATAATCATCGCTTTTAGGAATGGGGACAAAAAAGGAGAGGTCTTATGTGAGAGAAAGGGCCACTATTGTTCCCCTGACGAACAAGCGCCTCGACACGAGAGGTTACATCAGGTCAAGGTGGTGACAGTCACTATGTCAAGTCAGTGGTCAGTCTAGTGGCTACTTCTTGAGTCATCGTGCTGGGCCGCTTGACCGGTGCCCGGTGCCGCCTTCTCGGAACCTGGTCCATGTCAGAGGTCAAAGGGGTTACATGGTATGCATAATGAATATAATTTCAGAAAGGACAATGATGATAGCGAAGTAAATGCCGAGCCGAGTGGCCCAGTGGGTGTGCAGATGGGGGCTCCTTGAAGGCCGCGTGTTGTGAGTCTCCGGATTGCAATGGGAAATAATATTCTAAGCTTTTGCTAAACTGTGCTGCTACGATGTACGTGTAATTGTAAAGAGAATACAAGTCATGTGTACGCACAGTGTGTGAGGTTTTGGATATTGCAATTCGTGTGAAGAGAATTCAAAGGGGAAACAACACGTCCTGAGATATAACTATGTTCGTCGAGGTAAATTTCAGTCTCTAATTTTACTAGAGTTTGATAAGTAATGTTGAAAAGGAATGTTAAAAAAAATATTTATTGTTAGCAATCCAAACGAGACACCTTGGCAGGTGAGGGAGACAATTCCAGCCTTCCCCCACTCCCCTGCTCCAACAGCTATTCCTAATACCCTCGTTTGTTTCACCAGTAACCTCCGGGTGTTCTAAAGTGATTGTCTGAATGATTGATTACAGTTTTATCATAGAAAAAAGAGCACTATTTTTTGCGGATGAGCCTGGCTAGACACTTTGGTAATGAAGGGCGTAATGATTTTTTTATTGTGAAAGTGTAAAAGTACTCCTCATCGGCTTCATTAAGAGCCTAGCCTTGCTCATGGTAGGCTTAAATCAAAAGAGAGTCCTTGAAATTAATAGAGGTTCCAGACGATCGTGCAAGTCTTCGGTGTGAAGAAATGCAGAAATATGAACTTAAAGCTGAATTCTCAACGTCACGAACAAATAAAGATATTGAAAAGAAAACCCCAACTAAAAACAAATATACAATGCAGATTTTACAACTGGATTTATTTCAGGGCTAGTTGTTTCTTCTTCTCTTGTACACATGCCTTGTCGTGGTGGGGAAGCTTGCAAGTCCTTACGATCCCGGGAGCTCTATCATCAGCGGGGACTTCTGTCCCTGGCAGGTTCTAGCAAGCTGGCCAGGTCGCCCGGGGAGGAGCCTTATAAAATGTATTCACCAGCTGCAGGTGATGGGGGTGGTCTACGTTAGCACTCGAAGTCATGAGTGGTGTAGGGAGCAGAGGTAGGTATCACAACCTTTTGAATGGTCTCGAGGCACGATAGCAAGGTGTGTGGCTCACTATAAGGGCATGTCGAGACCCAAAAGACGATTGTGGCCGGCCACCGTGGAAAGGGTGGGAACTTACTACGTATGATTCCAAAGAAATGCATTGATCAAAGAAGACATCTTCTCCACATTCCTATAATAATGGTGCTGAGACCTGGACTTTGTTACAGAAAGAAAACAAAATAACTGCGTTTAAAATGTGGTGCTACCGTAGAATGGCCAGAATAAGTTGGGAAGCAAAAAAGGTGAACAATACGGTGTGTCAGATTCTCCACACAAGACAAACTCGGCTGAATGAAATAAAAGGTAGGAAACTACAATACTTAAACCACTTAAAAAGACATGAAACCATTGTGAACGAGGTGCTAGAAGGAGGGATGTGGGGCAGGAGGGCCAGGGGACAGGGGAAGACAAAGAGAAACATAGATGGACAACATAAAAACATGGAATGGCCTGGACACTGGATATAGCAGTACGTGCAGTAGCAGCTTGCGACGGTGAAGGATGGAGGGTCATTACACGTCAACCTCTGAGTCAGAGATGACCTCTCCAGGAAATTGTTTCTTTTTTTTCTTTAGGCTAGGAGTTAGAGAACGTTTGAAACATATGAAAGGGTCAGAGTGGCTTTTGTCGAAGAACATATTTGGAACTTTTTGTTGTCGATCATGCATGTTATGTACATAGAGTAACAAAAGGTTGTGTGTGGTTATGAAGAACGACATTTTCAAAGTAGGCTAACGGGTGTGGTAAAACAGCAGATCGTTGCCCGCACACTTGACTGCTGAAAGGTGAACTGTTGATATTCTCTGCTCTTTGTATTTCTTGTAAGTTTCTCCTATACAGAGGCATGCTTATTTCTCGTATTTATACATGGGCAGTCACGCATTCAATGAAATCATCAAGCGAAAAATAACACACCCTAACACAGACTAATTTACGTATACAAAAACTAATATAAGTACACTCTAAGGCACCAAGGCTTCGACATTCTTAGCCCATTCACTTTACCCCCCCCCCCCCCCTCGTTCTCTCTCTCTCTCTCTCTCTCTCTCTCTCTCTCTCTCTCTCTCTCTCTCTCAAACACCACACACCCACCCACACACACACACACACACACACACACACACACACACACACACACACACACACACACACACACACACACACACGCGTGCACATACTAACATACACACATATGCATATTAGAGAGTGCGTTTGAGTGGACATAATTATTAACTAGTCATGTGTAGATTATGCGCTAGACCCGACACCGACCTACAAACCACAGTTCATTGACATACTGACTGCAAGGTAAAATTTGATTTGATCTCCGAAGTGTACATCACTCGCAGTTGAATCTGAGCATAGTCATCCATCAGGGCTGACATATTGGTCTTCACGTCACATGTTCCCCTGCAGTGTACAGCGTTACTGTACTGTGCAGGTAACACACAACTAAAAGAAATACACGTCCTATAGAGAGATAAAATTGAAATGTTTCACAAATTACACGGGTAAAATTTTCTGACAACAAAAAACAATCTATATATAATCTATTTATATTTGTGAAAATTTGTCACTTTGGTCGCCTGAAACTTCCAAACCACTTAACTTTCGAATTAGAAAAAAATAACTGTGGTTCAGAATAATTTAAAAGGTGCACAGTTATATTAAGGAGTCTGAAATCAGTGTAGTTTAATGTTCAGTTTGTCACTAGTTTCGTTTAGATCTATTCTGGGAAAAGTCCGTCTTCTAAGACGCCATTGTAAATAAGTGAGACTTCCGTTAGCACGCAGTGTGCACTGGCACCACAATGACATGACGATCGATTCTTTGAGTCCGTTCATCGAACGGGTACCCAGCTAGAAATAATGTCATAATCAGGGACATCGCATTTTTTGGCCTTTAGGCACCCCCTCCTCAATTTTTCTACTGCTCGGTATCTTCTATGTATGAACACATTTCGGTGTGGACTTTACTGAAAAACGTTGATCAAAGAGACATAAGATGTAAATTTGCGGTGTCAAAGGAAACTCAAGCTTTGGAAGTTGTCAAGCTTCGGGGGCCATTTTTTCGCTAATTTTACCCCTGATGCCAGTTGTCTCCTATCTCATTCATCGCAAATATCTTGACTTCTATTCGAGATTGATTGGTATTTTTTTCGCCAAAATGAAAGACAAATGAACAAGCTTTAAGATGCTAATACTTCTATATGCCCAACAATTGACGAGCGTCTGGCCCCACCCCGTCGTAACACATTTGGTTTTGATCAACACATGAGTAGGTTAATATTTTGACTGTTTAGGGCTTAATTTCAGAGGGATTTTTTGGTTAACTTAATTATTACTTGTATTTCTATATTAATACTTCCAGTGTCGCAGCTGACTTTTAAAAAAATTAATTCACGTTGAAATACCGAATTTCCCCCTAAAATCGGTCTCACGATTATGCGCTAGACCCAAACCGACCTACAAACGACAGTTCATTGACATACTGACTTCGGTGTGTGAGTCTAAAGCAATGCTTTCCCGCTGGAGAAGAAGTAATAGAATTCGCTTCAAGCAAACATGTTAAAAGAAAAGTAACAATATTATATTTAGTTGTATGTAACCTGGGACGGCTATGTTTGACATCCTTGTCGCTGCTCTATGTGTGCAGTGCAGTGATCGGAAGAGAGGGTGCAAATAACACACACTATTTCTCCACGCCTTAAAATAGATGAAGAGGCCTCATAAAAATGAGAAGGGTCTCCTCACCACCGCCCACTCACCCCCCC